CAGCAAAAAAAATAACCATTTTGAATCCCATACCATATTGTGGATCTCATTTTTAACAAGTCATTAATTCAATGTACCTAACATCAAAATGGTCCAACGACCTTTTTCGAACAAATTATAATATCAACTCTTCTTCTTTGCCACCTAAAAGTTTTGTTACAAATTTACACAAAATTGATTCGCCATTCGGTGTGGGTGTAAAGAAGACCATCCCTGAAACTTGTGGTTTGTGATTCACATTAATCAAACTCATTGTTGTATAGTTGTTTAAATCTTTGTTTTTAAAATGTTCAAAATTAGGAGATAAAAACAAACTCTCGAAATAATGTTGTCAGTTGCATACATGCGAACGAACGAAAGAACGAGCAAGCAAATCTCCATGAACTTTATTAAGTGATTCAACAACGTGAAGTCAACAAAACAAAAATTACTTTTTGTGGTTTTCATTTCAAAACTAAATGAAAAACTTTAGAAAACTCTTGCAGATTCTCTATGCAGTAGTTATACGCAGATGAAAAAAAACATGTGCCAGATAAGAGGGTGGATTTAACTTTCATTTAAAAAAAGGAATTTGTGACGAACGAGTATAATTATGCTGGCTTGCTGAAACTGGCATTTACAAATATTAGTCAGAATGACTATGCAAAAAAAAGTATCAAACGAAATCCATTTTCTATTTTTTCAATTTGCCCTTTTTAATATATTTCTTTTCCCTGTTAGTAAAATCAGAGAGTTATTTTTCGTTAACAATTCTGTTGAAATCTTAAAATTACGGAATGTAGCCTCTATATTAGGGTCTATATGACGACGTGAATCTGCATCAGAAACTTTTATCATAAGCAATTAGAATATTCAAATGCGAAACTTGAAAAAAATCGGTGAATAATGTAGCTAAAATCATCAAAGTACGGAATATCGGACGATACCGTTATATGGGGGCTATACGAAGACGCTGTAATATCCATTACGAACTTCAAATACCAAATTTGAAACAATTCCGGTGAATAATGTCGCTAAAATCATCAAAATACTGAATATCGGGAGGTACCGTAATATGGGGGAAATTCAAAGACGTGGACCTGCGCAGACAATTTTCTGTCTTAGGCTGTAGTATCCATTTCGAACTTCAAATGCCAAATTTGAAGCAATTCCAGTGAATAATGTCGCTAAAATCATCAAAGTACCGAATATCGGGACGTACCGTTATATGGAGGCTATACGAAGACGTGGACCTGCAGAGACAATTTTCTGTCTTAGGCTGTAGTATCCATTACGAACTACAAATACCAAATTTGAAACAATTCCAGTGAATAATGTCGCTAAAATCATCAAAGTACCGAATATCGGGAGCTACCGTAATATGGGGCATATTCGAAGACGTGGACCTGCGCAGACAATTTTCTGTCTTAGGCTGTAGTATCCATTTCGAACTTCAAATACCAAATTTGAAACAATTCCGGTAAATAATGTCGCTAAAATAATCAAAATACCGAATATATGGGTGCTATACCAACACGTGGTCGTACATGCGGTCCAAAAGTCCTCCAGACATAATATACATTTGAGTAAAAATTTTATCAATCTACACGAACAGATTTACTGCGAGAGGAACCACAATACGAGTTCCCAATCAATCATCCATCGTACACGGACCGAACACTTCAAAAGTTCTCTTTCGACTACTGATGTAATGAAAAATTTTAACTGTAATTCGTTACATTCCATTTGTAATTTGGGAATACCATTTGTAATTCTATTCATCTCAATTGTACTTTAAGAATTATATTATATTATATATATATATTCGTATATATATAAAATTCCATTTGAAAATCAAAATAATTCGTTTGAATTTCGAAGTGTTTCATTTATAATTCGAATGATTTCATTTGTAATTCGACAAAGCAAATATGAAGCCAACACAAAAAATATTTGTAATATCAAATGAAATTATTAGCAATTTTCAAGCTACAATTACCATAACAAATGGAAAGCTCGAACTACAAATTGAATAAATCGGCTTTCAAATGAAATAATTAGAGTTACAAATAGAAAAATGCGAATTACAAATGAAATAATTAGAAATTTAAATGGAATATTACCAACAACAAACGCAATTTTCGAACTACAATTAAAATATTACGAATAACATATGGAAATATCGAATTACAAATGAAATATCATGGTACAATGAAGAGAAGGTAGGTCAACTTTGAAAAAATTGCAAGTATAGAGGTCTACCCGTTTGGCTTGTAATGTCAGAATTACTATCAAAACAATAAAAAAGCAAACAACTTGTTGCACTGATTTTGAATAAATAATTTAAAACCGCGAAAACTGAATGAATGGTCAAAATTTCTTTTCAATATCATGTTCTATATATCTCTTATGGTTTATTTCGCGACAAAAACTGTAGATTTTGTCGATGCATTCGTTGCAATAAGCATTTTGAAAACACCCGAATTTGAATATTTTCTGAACAATTTTTTATTATTGAAAAGAAGACACACACATAAGCAAATGAAGTTGGCATATTAAGCCAGAAAAATAAAAAAATTTAAATCATATGGTAGTTCTGCCCTACCTTGAATTCATTGTACCATGTGAAATATAACGAATTACAAACGGTATTCTTGAATTTCAAATATAATCTTTCGAATTACATCTGATAAAGGTGAAGTTGAACACCGAAATGGTTTTGTAAATTGCAAAAATTAACAGAAATATCTTTCTAACAAGAAAAGGCTTAAGTCCAACAAAAGGAAAAAATCTTTTCGAATACGGTTATTAAGTATTCTTAAAACCGAATACCGTATCGACCGTATCCGAAAACATAGTAACAAACATGGTACAATCAACACAAGATAGGCTAACTTTGGAAAAATTGCAAGTATAGAGGCCTACCTGTTTGGCTTGTAATGTCAGAATTACTATCAAAACAATAAAAAAGCAAACAGCTTGTTGCATTGATTTTGAATAAATACTTTAAAAACGCGAAAACTCAATGAAAGGTCAACATTTCTTTTCAAAATCATGTTCTACATATCTCTTATTGTTTATTTCGCGACAAAAACTGTAGATTTTGTCGATGCATACGTCGCAATAAGCATTTTGAAAACACCCGAATTTGAATATTTTCTAAATAATGTTTTTATTATTGAAAAGAATACTCACACATAAACAAATGAAGTGAAGACATATTAAGCTAGAAAAATAAATAAAATTAAAATCATATGGTAGTTCTGCCCTACCTTGAATTCATTGTACCATGGTAACAAGGACATGTAACAATTTTCGCTACGATATTATATACATTTAGAAGTAGAAATAGCAAGTAAAAAAAGCAGAAAAGTTCTGCTAAGCCGAACTCTTAATACTCTAGACCATTTTGACGGAACTTGCAAAATGTAAAACGCCGCTAAAGTTTAATAAAATTCGAATACCATGTATTATTGTTATATGGGGCTATAGGAAAACACGAAACTCTCTAATCAATTTAGCTAAAATCGTTTGAATACCGAAGACATGATTTTGTATGGCCTATTTTCTGTGTTCGTAAGAAGTACCCAATTCTAAATTTCGAGTTAGATATAATTCTGGTGAAAGGTGTGACAAAAATCAACCAAATAACGAATATAGGGAGGCACAGTTATATGGGAGCTATATGAAGATGTAGACCTATGTAGGCAACTTTTTATCATAGGAGACAGCACCCATTACAAACTCCAAATATCAAATTTGAAACAATTCCGGTGAAAAGTGTGAAACAAATAATCAAAATATCGAATATTTTTGAGGTAGATTTATGTAGGGCCTCTACAGCCAATTATCTGCTAAAGAGGGATGTGCCTATTACGAACTAAAAATACCAAGTTTGAAATAATTTTGTTGGAAAATGTAATACCATCAATATACTGAATATTGGGGTTATACTATATATGGGGGTTATACGAAGACGTGAACCTATATAGAAAATGCTCTATTATCTATTACGAACTCTAAAACCACATTTTCCGATGAAAACTATGACACAAATCATCGAAATACCAAACATCTGAAGGTACAGCTACATGGGGTATATACCAAATCATGAACCTATATATACAGTTATCTGTAGGGATATTTTCTATATATTTTCCTAGAGTCATTTCCACAAACAGATTGACATAGAATTTTATACGGATCAAGAATTATATACTTTATGGGATCTAATTGCATACTTTGAGGTGTTACAAATGGAATGACAAACTTAATATCCCCTCCACACTATGATGGAGTGTATTGAAGACCATACCATAACGTGAGCCATATCGTAACGTGAACTGATTTTGAAATATTTTGACAGAGAGAATAAATATCCTAATTAACAAGTTATACCTAATTCCATTGGAAAATATGAGCGAAACAATAATACATAAAATCGAGAGGACCGCTATATTGGAACTATACCAAAAAGTAGCCGACGTCGATACTTTTTTGTAAAGATTTTACGAACTCAATAAAAAGTCCGAATCGAAAGATGGGCTAAGAAGATCTTTTTGTCATCTAGGTCAATCCCCTCAAAAATATGAGTTATTACAACAAACATAATAACAGGCATGCGGTTTTAAATGATTATTTTAATAAGTCATAAATGGAATGACAAACTTAGTATATATTCTTTACTGTATGGTAGTGGGTACAAAAACTTCAAATCAAGTTAGTCATGATCTTTATGAGGTACTGCAAGGAGTCATTGTTTACAATACGTCTATTCGCAATCAACGTTTTTTTTGCAGTGGTTTTATTATCACGTTCAGCATGTATTCAAATATGTATGATTCACACGTAGCTTACCAGCATGTTTTTCTCACGTTCGCACAAATAATCTGTAGATAACAGTTCTAAATGTTTTCATAAAACTTTTAAAATAAATCTGTTTCTACGTGGACCAATTAAGTACTTAGTTTGCAATTTTAAACATAGACACTTACTGTTGTACGGAGCAAAGATTGACTTACCTTACGTTTCGACCTAGCCATGCGTTGATCTCGAGAATTTTCCGCCTCACCCGGAGGTCGCTTGCCCCAAACGGCCAGTGCAATGCGGGTGTAGGTGAAAATTAGCACCGACAATGGAACAATAAATTGCAGTGTCAGCAATGCCAGCGTGTAGTAATAGTTTTGTTCGGCTGTGGGCCATTCTTCCTTACAGATGTATCTAAGGAAAAGAACAAGAAGCAGAAGAATAAGTTGAACAAACAAAAGTCACAAAGGAAATCATGCACAAACAATGAAATTGTAAATTATACATGAATTATGACAGCTGAAATGGTAGTTGTGTGCGATGTGGATGTTGGCCGACAGACCGGCTGTTTGTGAAACAGTTGTTTGACAAGGGTTGTGGACATTTGGACGTTTTCTTAACAAATATTAAATATTTGTTAAAGACTTTTGTAATTTTTCTCTGCAATTTTCTCTTTTTCCAGATTGTATTTAAGACGTCCGTGCACTTGAAGAAAATAATTAAAAAAAGGACACGCTACCCTTTGGAATGATTTTAAATTAGAAAATCAAGTTGCGCATAAATTAACTAAGACCATTTTTAATGAAATTATTTTGGAGATGACTTTTAACAAGGAATGGAAATATCGACCTTGTTACACAAAAGACAAAGTTTTAAAAAAAAACACCAGCAAAACAGTGACACAGACTAACGCCTGCCAATTAATTTGTAAATTAGCAAATGTCCTTTGGTCAACTTAACCAAGACAATTTATTATACCCTACAACACTATGTGTTGGGGGTATTATAAGTTTGATTGGGCCAAAAATTATGTAACACCTCGAAATATTGATTTCCCATATAGGAAAGTATATATGGATCTTCCTAGCTCGCCGAGCTGAGTCGATCTAGCTATGTATGTCCGTCCGTCCGTCTGTCCGTCTGTCCATGTTAATTTGTAATCACTCTACAGGTCGCAATTATGGCCCGATCTTCACGAAATTTAGAATGTAGGTGGGGCTTGGACCAGAATAGAACCCTATTGCTTTTGGAGATGATCACCAAATGTTTAGGGGTTGAAATGGACCAATTACTGAAAAAATGTCGGATTTTGCAGTAGCTATACAGGTCGCAATTATGGACCAATCGACGCGAAATTTCGCATGTAGCTAGAGTTTAGGGCGGGGAAGAAGCCTACTAATTTGGGTGGTTATCGGATAATATTTAGCGGGTAAAATAGGCCATATCTTTTGTGTTGAAAAAAATCAAAATTTTTCATTAAACCGTGAATATTTTAAATCCCGGCGAAATCACAAAGCCATCACAAGGTTACTTCTGACTTTACATTGATGTTATTATCCAACAAATCGGATATATAGCAAAATATGTGCGATATATATGTCTATCAAAGAAGATATGCTTGAAACATCTCTTATATGTCGAGAACGGCTGAACTGATTTCGACAGTTCTCATTAATTCAGAATGGCCTCTTGGCAGGAAAGAAAAAACGTCTAAAAAAATCGCATAAAAGTATCTCTCTAAGATGAAAATATTGATTTTGTAAAATTTTCTCATATTTTTTCAATTTTGTCGTATTTTTGGCATATTTCCATTTTGAATTAAACATTTAAAACATAACAAAACTAAGTAGTTAGGATATCAGGATATCATATACAGATCTCATTTATGGCACGATTCTTACGAAATTTTGCATGGGGATAAGATGAGGGTCAGAATAGAAGCCTACTTTTTTTGGAGATGATCGCTATATATTTAGAGGTTGAAATGGACCAAAAAACTGCAAAATTGTTGGCAGGTCGTAATTATCGCCCAATCCTCATGCACATTTGAATGGGGGTTACCTCACATTGCAAAAGCCAAGCAATTTCGGATGGCCTTCGAAAAATATTCAATGTGTGAAGGAGTTTGCCAACTTTTATAGACAAAATACGAAAATGTCCATTCCAGTGACTTTTTGGAGAATTCACAAATACAGGAAAGACGCACTTCTGACTATTTCGTTAACGCTGATTTGTTGAAGAATATAGTCAAATGTCTGTATCTCATATAGATGCGTTTCAGTCAAAAACCAATAATAAATGTTAATTTTTTGCCACTTCTGAGAGATTATAGGTCTTTGGGAAATATTGGTTCCAGATCTAGGAAGACCATTTACGTGCAACATCTACCATTAAATTGGAAATGAGCAAATTAGTTTAAGTTGCTATTATTCGAAAATTAGAGAACGAAACCTGATGGTTTTCTTTTATTATTTGTCACAATATTTTGTGAAATTCTGTCGAGTATTTCGCCTATATAAACTGTATGGTTTATTATAGTGTTGTAGGGTATTCAACGGTCGGCCCCGCTCGACTGTAGCCTTTGCTTACTTGTTTTTTTGGTATAAATTGTTTTTAAAGTGTTAGAAAAAAATAAATAAATAAACACCACGACTTGTGACCAGTTGCGAGTAAACAGGTCATATTTATCTAGGAACAATTAATAAATACAAATTTTTAAACCTACCTTCCACACAGTTCATACCAATCACCAGGCTGTACTAATTTTGAAACAATTGGTATTGGTAACGCGGTGGCCAAAGCGATGAACCATATCCCAACTATTATGAACTTGGCATATCTAAAATGAGAAAGAATTAATTACGTGAGATTTTGTTGAAATGTTTTGTAAAGAAGACATAAAGTGTTAATTTAAATAGAAGTTTTTATGAGAAGGTTCACAAATAAAATAAAATGAATCAAGTATACGGAAGATGTAGCTATATCTAACCCCATTTAGTTTTATTCTAGTGGAAACTTGTAGTAGTATGTGGGCTATACGATATCTTGAACCAATATAGATATTTCTCTCTCAGGGAGTAAAGTGCTTAGATTTTTAGAAAATTCCTTTGAACAATGTTGCTACAATCATCAAAATACCGAATATAGGGAGGTACCGTTATATTGGGAATAAACGATATCGTGGACCTATATAGACAATAATCTTCCAGGTCATGAAGTACTCAAAAGAAATACTTATGTGGATTTTCAGAAAATTTTATTGAAAAATTTGGCTACAATCATCAATTTAACAGTTCTCTTCCAGAGGGTACAGTATTCAGAAAGAACTCTTTTTGTGGATTTTCAGATAAATCCATTGATAAATGAATATAAAAAATCTTCAAAATACCGAATATCGGAAGGGGCCGTTACATGGGTGATATACGTTATCGTGGACCTATATAGACAATTCTCTTACAGGTGAGAACTTGTGTAGTTCTTTGTGAGTAGAATGACGAACTTAATATACCCTTCATACTATGCATGGTGGAGGGTATAAAAACTTAAAATTGGGTATATTTGAAGGTGGTTTTGGAAATGTATACTAAGTTTGCTAGCTGTACTAAATGTTACTAAGTTTGGGTGAACGGATGAAGCTGGAATTTTGTAATTATGTATTGGGGTCCCTCTTGGTGGTAGCTCTGTGATAAATGTGGTTGTTGTGCTATATTTGGTACAATTTGGTGTTGGGTGAACAGATAGTCGCTGTTCGTGTATAGCCTGTACATATGGAGGTGGTCTCGGAAATGCGTCCTATGTTTATACGAAAAGTACTGAATGGTACTATACTTAGTATTGAATGAAGTGATAGATATAAAACTGTGAATTTTGATATTTATATTACTGATGGTGTTTTGGAAATGTGTCATAGGGTAAGTGTACCAGTAGTCGGCACTTTTAGGATTTTCGCGTTTTTAATCGCTCACCATTCTGAGTGGAACTTTTCAATTATTACAAAGTTAATTTATTCAGATTCGAAATTTTGTATAGGTTTTGCAATAATATATAAAGTGTTAATAACTTTTTATTAAATTTCATAAATTTGTAGTTTTATTAAAACAATGCTTTTTTGCCAGTAGTCGGCACCACTTGCTAATTGTCGGTATGGCATGTTCTAACAGTCGGCATACCAATTTTTTTGTAAGAATAATTAATAATAATAATAAATTAATTCATTAAAATATAATATTTTTGTTTAGTTAAACTGATTCGACGTCTTTATTGTACTTTTCTTAAGAATATGGATTGTTGAGGACCTTCACAGACAAAAATTTAATTTTTATTAAAATAAATCATATTTTCTTAGCGAAATTGTATACAAAGATAGCTGACAATATATTTGAAGTAAACAAAGTACATTAAGTTATAATAGTTTCATTTATTTGGGCTTAAAAATAAAAAGTGCCGACTACTGGGACATGCCGAACTTAGGCACACTTACCCTATAATTGTTTAAAAAAGTACTAAATGATACTAAATTTGTTATTCAGTGAAGGAAGATGGCTGGAATCCTTAAATTTGATATTTAGGTCTCTGTGGATATCTGTAATTGAAATATGGAAGTCGATTTGGAAAGGTGTACAATAATTGTGAGAAAATTACTAAATTTGGAGTTAGGTGAAGAAATAGTAATAAAATCCAAAAAATTGAATATTGAGGTCTTTGATGGTATCCGGTTTTGAGTTCTGGTGGATGTTTTGAAATGTTCGAAAAATACTAAATTATATTAATTTTGGATCACTGTTGGTGTCTAAGATGGAGAGATTTGGATTGTTTTGGATACGTATGGGTGAAGGGATATAGCCGAAATTCTGAAATTTGATATTGAGTTCACTGTTGGTTTCTAAGGTTTACGTATGAAGACGTTAAAATTAGTTTTATACCGAAAAAATTGACGTGGGTCCATAGGGCACTATACTAATTGTACTGCACTAAATACTAAAATTGTACTGCACTAAAATTCTCCGCAGTAAACTTCAAAATAAAATATTTTGAAGACTTTTTTTGTAAAAGGTAAACATTTTCCTATTTTTTTTTTCCAAAAAATTAAAAACTTGAAAGTCTGAACATTGAGTGCGATGTATAAAGTTTATATAAAAAAAATTGACAAACTCTACAATTTGTGTATTTCGAGTATTGAAAAGGCTTAATACGAACTGTTGTAACGAATTTAAAATTTAAATAATTTCTTCTCTGTTATTCTGAGCAGTATCGAATGGATCGCCACTTTTTTACTTTTTGTGATTCAGTCCAACGACTGACAAATATTTTATATCGTTTCATACGAGGCCCAACCCTATCAAGCCAAAAGAATAAATCCGAGTATCATCAAACCAACTAAGTTAGCCCGAATACCATCACGCCGACGTTATCAACACTGACTCCATAATGCTGACTCTATCAACACGAATACCAGCAAACGGTATAAACCGAAACATATGTCAGGATAGCAGAAGTATTTTCCGAAAAATCATCGATGCTGCAGCCACTCTTTATATACCCGTTGGACGATTACCCAAAATGAGAGGTGTTGAAAGTGGAAAGAGAAACTTTATACATCCGACCAATTTTCTGATGAAAATCGAAAAATCGTCTAAAATATTCGAAATACGGAAAATCCAGTGTAAATTTTTAATGGGCTCTATACTTAATTGTGGATTGATGTAGCACATTCTCTATAGCAAACATGTTGAGAGTTACTGTCAGATTTGTATTCATACAATTACAATCATACATGCAATATACATTTATTAAAATTTGAAATATTTCGTTTCTTATAATTCCACCACCAAACGAATTTTGTACTAGCACAAAACATTTCTATTTATTCTATATTCACACATTGGGTCAACATTTTGGTGACACTTCATTTAACAGCTCATTATGTCCCACTAATGCAAAATGCTTGTAATTCATTAAGAGAACTAACTACAACCAAACATTCCCACTTTCCGACTATGTAGGCGTAGACGTTTAGCCCATGACGCATCAAACTCAAATCGACATCCATAAAATTGTTGGCCAGCTGATGCCACCCACAATGTACCCACCTTCCTTCTTCTTTCGAATATTAATGTTGAGTTAATTTATTTGTATAGAAATGTGATACGGATGAGCCTGTAGTAGTAAGGCTATGTTCACAGCCATACAGGATAGGCTCCCAAGCCATAATGATTTAGAGAAAGACTAGACCAGTACAATTGTTTTTATTGATTGCTGGCTTAATGAAAACAAGGAAGGTTTACATTGTCACATGATATATATATTTGAGCTGACACTGTTTGTCATTATCCCATCGTCCGAACAAAGGACACAAACTCACGTAACACTCAAAGCCGTAAGTCTAATGACGTGCCCCCACAATCCCAATACAAAGAGTCACTGGCTTTTATTTCGTTAAAAATCCTAATTTGCTGCTAGGAATAGACAGGAAACATAATTAGAGGCAATTTAGTGTTCAGAACTGTATGGGAGAAAATAAAAACCAACATACTTTGTAGCCGGATATTCACGATATCAAATAAATATTTAGTGAAGCATTTGGACAGCATTTCACACTTCCGTTTGTTATATTGTGCGGACGTTAAATCGGAGAGTGGTGGAACCGGTGGGTGACGTAAAACTATGAATGTAGTTAATGATGACTAACGTTTGTCCTTGATATTTGAACACATCAAAAAAATTACGTTATGAACTGACACGTGGCACCTAATTATAAATAGTAATACTCTCACATTTCAGGGGTCTGAAATTAATGGGGCTATTTAATTTTAAAAATTAGTATTTTTAAAAAATTGGTAAAATTGCTTGTATGTCTCACTTTTAAAATTGAGCTTGGAATCTTCGCCATATCTATTGAACGTGAGCCTGAGCTAAGTCTCCAAACTAGGATTTCAAAAGATTGCTACAGTTTAGTTCAAAATTTATATGAAACTAGCAGCACAGTGCCCCTTCTCTTAATAGTCCTATCATATTTGGTACATTAAAAAATTTCCAAAATTTTACTTAAAAAAATACAATAAAAAAAGATGTAAGTTCGGCCGGGCCGAACTTTGAATACCATCCACCAATTGGAACGAATTTGGCAATTTTCCAAAAAAACAAATCCGTTAAAAATTTTGTTAAAATCTTAAAAACACCAAATGTAGCCGTCAACTCATCATCAAAATATATGGGGGCTATACCTGTGTGGACATGCAGAGACAATTTTCCGTCATAGGCAGTAGCATTCATTATTAACTTCAAATATCAAATTTAGAACAACTGCAGTGAATAATGTCGCTAAAATCATCAAAATACCGAATATCGGGAGGTACCGTTATATGGGGCTTTACGAAGATGTCTACCTGCACAGACTATCTTTTGTAATGGGCTGTAGTATCTATTACGAACTTCAAATATCAAATTTGAAATAATTCCAGTCAATAATGTCGCTAAAATCATCAAAATACCGAATATCGGGAAGTACCATTATATGGGGCTATACGAAGACGTCTACCTGCACAGATTATCTCCTGTAATGGGCTGTAGTATCTATTACGAACTTCAAATATCAAATTTGAAATAATTCCAGTCAATAATGTCGCTAAAATCATCAAAATACCGAATATCGGGAAGTACCATTATATGGGGCTATACGAAGACGTCTACCTGCACAGATTATCTCCTGTAATGGCTGTAGTTTCTACTACGAACTTCAAATATCAAATTTGAAACAATTCCAGTCAATAATGTCGCTAAAATCATCAAAAAACCGAATATCGCCAAGTACCGTTATATGGGGTGTATACCAAAACGTGG